TGATGGTTGTTACCATAGTCACGTGATATTTGTTACCATAGTCACGTGATGGTTGTTAGCATAGTCACGTGATGGTTGTTAGCATAGTCACGTGATGGTTGTTAGCATAGACACGTGATGGTTGTTACCATAGTCACGTGGTGGTTGTTAGCATAGTCACGTGATGGTTGTTAACATAGTCACGTGATAGTTGTTAACATAGTCACGTGATGGTTGTTACCATAGTCACGTGATGGTTGTTAGCATAGTCACATAATTGTTGTTACCATAGTCACATGATTGTTGTTACCATATTCACGTGATGGTTGTTACCATAGTCACGTGATGGTTGTTACCATAGTCACGTGATGGTTGTTAGCATAGTCACATGATTGTTGTTACCATAGTCACGTGATGGTTGTTACCATAGTCACGTGATATTTGTTGTCATAGTCACGTGATGGTTGTTATCATAGTCACGTGGTGGTTGTTACCATAGTCACGTGATGGTTGTTAACATAGTCACGTGACGGTTGTTACCATAGTCAGGTGATGGTTGTTAGCATAGTCACGTGATGGTTGTTACCATAGTCACGTGGTGTTTGTTACCATAGTCACGTGATGGTTGTTAACATAGTCACGTGACGGTTGTTACCATAGTCAGGTGATGGTTGTTACCATAGTCACGTGATGGTTGTTACCATAGTCACGTGATTGTCGTTACCATAGTCACGTGATGGTTGTTACCATAGTCACGTGATGGTTGTTACCATAGTCACGTGATGGTTGTTAGCATAGTCACGTGATGGTTGTTACCATAGTCACGTGATGGTTGTTAACATAGTCACGTGACGGTTGTTACCATAGTCAGGTGATGGTTGTTACCATAGTCACGTGATGGTTGTTACCATAGTCACGTGATTGTCGTTACCATAGTCACGTGATGGTTGTTACCATAGTCACGTGATGGTTGTTACCATAGTCACGTGATGGTTGTTACCATAGTCACGTGATGGTTGTTAGCATAGTCACGTGATATTTGTTACCATAGTCACGTGATGGTTGTTAGCATAGTCACGTGATGGTTGTTAGCATAGTCACGTGATGGTTGTTAGCATAGTCACGTGATGGTTGTTAGCATAGTCACATGATTGTTGTTACCATAGTCACGTGATGGTTGTTACCATAGTCACGTGATATTTGTTGTCATAGTCACGTGATGGTTGTTAGCATAGTCACATGATGGTTGTTACCATAGTCACGTGATGATTGTTACCATAGTCACGTGATTGTTGTTACCATAGTCACATGATGGTTGTTAGCATAGTCATGTGATGGTTGTTAGCATAGTAACGTGATGGTTGTTAACATAGTCACGTGACGGTTGTTACCATAGTCAGGTGATGGTTGTTAGCATAGTCACGTGATGGTTGTTAGCATAGTCACATGATGGTTGTTACCATAGTCACGTGATGATTGTTACCATAGTCACGTGATTGTTGTTACCATAGTCACATGATGGTTGTTAGCATAGTCACGTGATGGTTGTTACCATAGTCACATGATGGTTGTTAGCATAGCCACGTGATGGTTGTTACCATAGTCACGTGATGGTTGTTAGCATAGTCAAGTGATGGTTGTTAGCATAGTCATGTGATGAACTGATAAGCTAGAAAACTGATAGCTGACGCCCCTCGCGTGAAATAACTGCAATAATTGAACTCTGCTAACTGCTTGAATCAACTTTTCAGCTTGTATCGATTATTGGTTTGTAACGGGTTTTATTTACTTGGGGACCCCAGGCTATAATGTTCATAAATAGAGATTAAGCGGAATGACAGGCTGAGTGCCGACGAGTAAGCTTGTATCGGCTTTTATCAGCTTTTATCGGCTTGTATCGATTATTGTATCAATTTGCACTCGGCTGTGGCTCGTGCAATTAATAGTGTAATCGCATTATACGCAGTTAGATTAGCATAATATATAATTACATTTTTCATTACAAACATCTTATCATAGTTGTACAATCTTTTTGTTGTAAACTTTTGGCATATTCTGGCATTTAATATATCTTCCACATAATTCTAACATGATAAACTAGGCTGCGTTAGCTGTTTAAATGTGTAGTGTATTATACTTATAATTATATGATATAACATATAGTGTGAGTGTAGTATTACTACTAGTAGAACCCGACCATTAGAGTGGCGGGTTTTTTTTCGATTTTGTTGAGGAAAATACTGTTGTAATGCTTATTTAATAAAAATAAGGATGGTTGAAGTTTTACCGAAAATGGACTTGACCCATCAACGAAAATCGCTAATAAAAAACTAACAAATTACAACAATCCAGTGTGTTAGGGAGCCGCTCAAACTGTTTACTAATTGATCTTCCAAGCCTAAGGGGCGCCGTGTTGTTCCCGTGATCATGTATGCAAAAATGTACGACCGAGGTCACGTAATGAAGCCCCTAACTGAACTGCGGGCCTAATTGCCTGTTTTCGATTTAATGAGGTTTACACAACTTTCGAGCAGCTATGTTGAGATAAATGGTGATCGGTTTACTATATGTTATATTATACACTACACATTTAAAGTTAAACATCTGTCAGCCCTTATCCTGTTAGAATTATGTGGAGGATATATCAAATGCGAGAATGCCAAAAGTTTACGACGAGAAAGATTGTACAACTATGATAAGATGTTGGTAATGAGAAATGTAATTATATTAATGCTTTTCATGCAAACAAGTGAAAACGAATCTTTTATGTCATGTATCAATATTCATAAATAATATATCATATATAAAGCTGATAATATATATATAGTCAAAACGCGACAACTATAACGATAACGCTATCCGGCGCAAAATATAAATGTTCGATAATTGTCGCCATCCAGCGCTAGTTGTCGCTATCCAGCGCTAGTTGTCGCCATCCAGCGCTAGTTGTCGCTATCCAGCGCTAGTTGTCGCTGGCTATGCGACACTGTCGCACCCGATAGTTTGTGATGGCCAGCGCAACTGGCCATCGCAGAAAACAGTTCGATGACTAGCGCTGGATAGTGACAACTATCGCTGGATAGCGACAACTAGCGCTGGATAGCGACAACTATCGCTGTATGGCGACAACTATCGGTGGATAGCGACCACTAGCGCTGGATAGCGACAACTAGCGCTGGATAGCGACAACTAGCGCTGGATGGCGACAATTAGCGCTGGCCAGCGCTAGTTGTCGCTATTATATCCAGCGCAAAATATAAATGTTTGATAAATTTTCGATAATTGTCGCGACAACTAGCGCTGGATATAATAGCGACAACTAGCGCTGGCCAGCGCTGGCCAGCGCTAAGCGATAGCCATCGATGGCCAGCGCAAAATGGCTGCGATATTAGTATTACGCTTCAGCTAGCGCTGGCCAGCGCAATGTATCGAAATCATATACTTGCGATATTATTCGTCAGCAAGCGCTGGCCAGCGCAATATAGTTGCGATATTACTCGACACTCGTCAGCTAATAGCTGTCAATTGCAATGCTATTAATGGACAGCTATTATAAATCGATAGCTAGCGCTGGTATGGTTAGTGCTGACTGGCGAAATCTACCCAATTCCAAAATCAAATATATATATTTACGATATTATTATTAATATTAATCGTCAGCTGACGCTGACCAGCGCAATATATTTGGCTTTGCGATATCACTTGTCAGCTTAACGGGTGATACTCGTAAAATTGAAATTATTCGTTTCAAATCCTTAATTCCAGCTCTGTGTGCGTCGCTATTATATCCAGCGCAAAATATAAATGTTTGATAAATTTTCGATAATTGTCGCGACAACTAGCGCTGGATATAATAGCGAAAACTAGCGCTGGCCAGCGCTGGCCAGCGCTAAGCGATAGCCATCGATGGCCAGTGCAAAATGGCTGCGATATTAGTATTACGCTTCAGCTAGCGCTGGCCAGCGCAATGTATCGAAATCATATTCATATACTTGCGATATTATTCGTCAGTAAGCGCTGGCCAGCGCAATATAGTTGCGATATTACTCGTCAGCTAATAGCTGTCAATTGCAATGGCCAATGCTATTAATGGACAGCTATTATAAATCGATAGCTAGCGCTGGTATGGTTAGTGCTGACTGGCGAAATCTACCCAATTCCAAAATCAAATATATATATTTACGATATTATTATTAATATTAATCGTCAGCTGACGCTGACCAGCGCAATATATTTGCGATATCACTTGTCAGCTTAACGGGTGATACTCGTAAAATTGAAATTATTCGTTTCAAATCCTTAATTCCAGCTCTGTGTGCGTCTTGGTACTCATGGTAGATTATAAACCTACAATCGTCAGCTAGCGTTGGCTGACGAGTAATATCGCAAATATGAGTTTTTTATATTTTGCGCTGGCTAGCGCTGGCTAGCGCTGACTAGCGCTGGCTCAGGCTAGCTTTCGCTGGCCAGCGCTAGTTATCCGTATCGAACTGTTTTCTGCGATGGCCAGTTGCGCTGGCCATCACAAACTATCGGGTGCGACAGTGTCGCATAGCCAGCGACAACTAGCGATGGATAGCGACAACTAGCGCTGGATCACTGGATGGCGACAACTAGCGCTGGATAGCGACGCGACAATTATCGAACATTTATATTTTGCGCTGGATAGCGTTATCCAGCGCTGGATCTCTGGATAGCGACAACTAGCGCTGGATAGCGCTAGTTGTCGCCATCCAGCGCTAGTTGTCGCGTTTTGACTATCGGCATCGCAAAAGAACCCAATAATTTTTTTGGAAACAATTAAAAATCTTTTATGACTGTTAAATATCAATTATCACATAATTTGAAATAAATTTAAAAATGACAAACTTCTTCATTTCTACATCATACTAAGGTAGTGTACTTTTAGATGCATTGATATTACCGGAAATTACCGGTGATATATACAAGTTTGCAGCTAAATAGTATAACATATAAGATATTAATATTTCATATTAGCAATCACAATCAATTGATAGTATTAAAAAACAATTTCAGTTGCTCCAAAATGCGTGAACGTAAATTTTGAGATGATACAATAATAATTGAATTTGAAGATAGGAAAATTAAAGTTATAAAATCTGTATTCTTTAATTGCTAGGGTCCGGGTCCATACAAAATCTTTTATGAGTAACTCGGCCACTTAGATTCTTTCTGGCCGCTGCAGTTTGCAGCATATTGGCAAGTTGGGTATCTTCCGACCGATATCTCTTCGTTGATCCTGTGACCAGAGCGACCGTGTGTTCCACTGACTGGGTGTGACAGGGAATACTACAACTTAGTGGAGTATTTATTATATCATCCAACTCCACAGAGCTTAGTTGTCTGATTAAAGGAGGGGCAGTGATCGGCTCCCAGGATCCCAGCTTGGTCTTAAACATAAGCCGTTTCGGGGGTTTCATCATTGATACGCTTCGGTCAGCATGACGCAAAGGTAGGAACCGTCCTTGAGAATCGAGTGGTATCTCTGGTTTTTTGACTACCTGAAGTGGAAAAATTTGAAAAGCTTGTAAAGTTATTTTCTAGCTGTCGGTAGGACGAGCCATATTATGAGCACATGACAGTTTCCATAACCTTATCGGTATGAGTTTGACTTTTCAGAGAACAGTGTATTAATTTAGACCCTCCGCTAGAAAGTCTATTTATAAATCTGATTCAACTTGCTAACTTGGAGTTTGAAATTTTTGGACAGTAGAAATCATAAATTGTATTTATTCACTGTTAAACTCAATATAACCGACAAAATTTACCTGGTAAACCGACACAAACATATCGATAAAGCTTTTGCAATCAAAGTTAATCTGAGGTGAGATGTACTGTCTTATCTTTTTGGGTAGTCGAGACCCAGATTCTGTTTCGATGTAGCGGTCGTAGGCTTCTGAAGCACGGATATACTTCACGATAGAGATACCCCTCTGACGTATCACTCCTTTCTCATCCGCTGAAGAAACCGAAAGTTAAAACGATGATAGTTTATATCATATAGCTTAAAGTTAAAAGCATCTATAACAATAAACACAAAATAAGCACGTCTAGCAAAAATATCGCAATGTAGCAGAAGGGTCAGATTAATTTATACTCATATACTGGCCTATCAAACTAACCTAGCATCGCCAAGATGACGCTCTCAGGATGGGCCATGAAAGCGTTTTGCTGAATCGATTCATATACGATTTTCTTCTCCTCCGGTTGACAGTTCTCCCTTGCTAACCTTATTTCGTCAAATATATGCACGGCTGCATCTGTCAACTTGGGCTTTAGCTTTATATTGGCAAATACCTGAACGCATAATATTAATAATCTAATGATAATTTTTCGCACTGTTAATATTATAATTATAAACACTGCAGGATTGTGCAATATTAACTAGGTATAATTAGGCTAATAGTAATTAGAAATGTTCAGAAATTCATCAAGAGAGTGCAAAAAATTAGTGTACCCTATACCTAGTCTCACCTTATAATATACATGGACGATGAAATTCGCCATCCTTTCCAAAATCTCTGCGCAATGGGAGTTATAGGAGGAACTGGTCATGTAGAGACGGAGTATCCTGGTTCCCAGGGTAATCCATCTCGCAGTTGAGCAGTTTCCGATTTTGTTGTTGACAAATCTGTCAATTTTCCCGTTAACAAATCGGAAAGGCCGGCCAGTGTCAATAGCTATACAATACTTGTACATGAGTACACTATCGTTGGACATTTTATTGAGCACCTGAAAGAAATTAATATGTCTATCATCATCATTAAAGTATCTTCTTACTTATACCTATGTTATGTTTTGGAAAGTACAATGATTACCTACAATGCCTTGTAAGATGCTTCGGAGTTAATTGTGCGAACGGTTTTAAGCACCTAATAGTTCTTTGTTTTGAACAGCTGTAATCTTTATCCTAACATTAACAAACATGCATAAGAATCTTACATCTGTTTATCGGTTAAAACGTACAATATGATAATTTCTAACCGTACCTCTTCAGGGATGCGTGGAAAATTGCAGCTTATCTTTTTGTACGTAGTTACTTCAGGAAGATTGTCAGACATTATAAGGTCTCCGATCGGTCCTCCAAACGAACCAGGAGCTGCGAATAAATAATGTTACAAATCCCGATTCACTACGGTTATTTCCGCAGTAAATCAAGGTTTTACATTAATTAAAAAGTGAGAGGCTGCTTGAGTTTCTTTGTTCATCTGAACACTGAAAATTATTAAGTGGCTCGGAGAATTGCATTATTATTATTTTGTTATCGCTGATTTAGACAAATAAAAACATTTTTGTTCAATTACCCGTGAAAGTCCCACCATAGAATACGAATAGTTTCCGTAATGGTAGCTCAACCTGGTGCAATAGACAAAGTGATCTCTGTAATTCTCGTTTCAGCATCATTTCCAGTTCTCGGAACGCTCCTCCCTGCGTTGTAAATTTGTATCATCAATCATCAAACTATTTTATTATAATAGAAAACGTATATAATTATTTGTTGCCGAAAATGACAAACCTTCGGTTTTTATATACTAGACCTACACATTTTATTTTCGAGGGTCAAAGTACCGTTGGTGGGGACGAATAGTATGAGGGAATATAGATTACAAATCATATAATATTAATATAGAGATCTTCGCAACGAACTTACTTTATAACCAGAGTTAACATTGGTGTTGTCACCGCCAATAGTAGACCAGTATGTTAGATCAATACCACGCTGTTTAGCATATTCAAGTAATCCGACTGCTATTCCGACTCCTGAATTGGACGTTTTTGTTTAATCAAATGCAGCTGCGATCAGCTTTTTATATCATAAAAATTGCAAATACTCCTGTTTAAAGTAAAATATACGATGGCACAATTAGAACGAACTATTTTATTTCGATACACGACTACCAATGTTATAATTCGCGGTATTCAAATTTTTTAATCATTTACCAGTCGACGCCTCTGGTACAAAGAATCCAAGAGGAGAGTCACCGGGCTGTTCGACCACTGAGTAATGTGAAACTGTCTTCTTAACTTGTCGTAAAACACCGTCCTTTGAACGCTCACAGATCACTGTGTCCCTGTCATCTTTAGCATCAAAGAATATTGCTGAAATTATTAGTGTTATCCTCAAATTTTCAGCAGACGACGCCACCCACGATTAAATATGTTTTTTGTAAATATTTATTTTTAGGAAATAATGTAAAATATATCATACGTTAAGAATCGTGAATTACTTTAAAGTGAAGTATCATATTTAGATAACATTAACAAGTAAACTAACCCACGGGTTTCCGATTAGATAGCTCATCGATTCTCTTCACGCCATCCCGCTTGATTGTGCTTTCTAGCTTGGACCTCGGTACTACATACCGTTGTTTTAGCTTTCCATTTTTGAAAAGTTCCTCGCAGAAACTGGTGAGGAGTCGGGCCTGAGTTTCCTTACCAGTATCAGCCCTAGCTATTTCACCAGCCATGCCATCAAGATTGCAATCTAGATACGTCGACACTGTGACTTTTGCTGGTTTAAAATCAACGTCCTTGGCATCTCTAGGATCGGCAAAACTTTGCTGGCTTGACGAATCTTCGCTTAGATAATTAGCCTGACGATAATGTCATTGAGCAACGATATAGTTATCTATGATCAAAGTCTGCCGAACGATTACTTTGAATATTTTACGGTCAATTGATTCAATCTCATTTTTATGAAAACGGTAATTATGACCCCTACCTTAGTTAACCCTTATTAAGAGTCTTAATAAATAATTTAAATGGCGACATCGATTGTACCGGTACAACTTGAACTACTTTCTATGGAAAATTTATCGAGCAACAAAACGATAATTAATAGATAACATTCTATTAGTTAAAGTGCTTACAGGCACTGAAGTAGATGATGTTGGCGTGAAGTTACTGAGACTAAGAGCAGGAGTGGCAGCTACAGGAACATCAATCTGCAGCACCGGGGCTTGTTTTGGTAAGACATTAAAAATTTCATCTAGGCTCTTGATGAATTTGTCTTTCTTGGACTGCGCTGACTTTGCCATCAGTTCTCGACGTCTTTTATCGATGGTTTTGATTTTCCTGCAGTAGTTTTAAAATTACAAACAGTATAACCAAACTTTAATAAACGGAACAAAATAAAAACGGATCGGACAAAAGCAATAAAAATAAACGGATAATATATAAATTATAATTGACACCAGACTCTTTATAAAAATATGCAACTTACTTAGCAATATCAGGTGCAAATCTATGAACTTTGGAATTTTCTGTGACATCGTAGACGGCAAGTAGGTCGACAGCAACAGGACGGTAGAACTCAAAAATCGAATTTTTTCTACATTTACCAACGCTGGCTTCTTCAACGAGAAAAAGTAAATGTGATAACACATGACGCAGCAGAGTTGGCCGACAAGAGGAAGTTAAACGTTCTGGTTTTACAAGATCTTCAAGTTTCATGGTGAGCAAATGGCTCGCAAATTCATAAAATTGGTAAAAATACTATCCACGATGTTTTTATATGATTATTGAATATTGAGGTTAATTGAGTGCATGGGGAGGTGTGGATTTTGTGCACATAAACCCAATTTTGTTCCAGAACATTGGAACTTCGGTGGCAGTTACTAAGTATTTAAGTATTTACCTTGTACCATGTGTTAAACGTTTCTATTGTTAAAAGTGTCTATAATTGAGCACTGTTGCCTCATGAGTTTTGGTAATTATAATAACGATGGCATCTGATACAATACAATACCTCATGAGTCATAATGTCTATAATGATGTCTAATAAGCTTCGGGGCAATTTCAGTTCAACTTGTTTCGAAAATATTTGTTCAAGTGACCACAAGTTACGGAAATACACCATCCTCTTGGGTGAATAAATGGGTGACCGACAACTAAACCCAATTGAACCTAGTTCCTAGTCCTATGCAGTTAACAGCTTAATTGGGTGACCAATCATCTCAAATCCCAAAACGACAACTGAACCCAGGCCAAATCACAACCAGGAGGTCACCGGGACATGATTTCAGGCCTGACCGGGACCGGGACCGGGACCGGGATACAAAATGTGACTTGACCGGGACTGGGACCAGGACTGAGATCCGCTGAGATTATCAATATACCGGGACCGGGACCGGGACCGGGACCGGGACCTGGACCGGGACCGGGACCGGGATAGCTCAAAATTGCCAATCCCGGTACCGGGATTCTCGGTACCGGGAATTCCGGTCGATTACTGGTTAATTCATGATCATAATTTATTACTAAAACTTGTTTAGCAATTTTAAACATTGTTGTGTTTGGCTCAGAGGATGTTTAAAGATGAAATTCACAATGAATGAAAGGAAAAACTTAAAATCACAGTGAATGAAATTATGTAAAAGATCCCGGTCAAAATCCCTGCAAATTTGAGTGATTGACCGGGACCGGGACCAAGAATCCCGAATTAACCGGGACCGGGATCATAAATAAATAAATCAGCATTTGACCGGGACCAGGACCGGGATAGCTCAAAATTGCCAATCCCGGTACCGGGATTCCCGGAACCGGAATCCCGGTCACCTCCTGATCACAACTGCACCGAAATCGGAAATACGACAACTCAACCCAACGATCGTATTTTCAGGTTCTCCTCCTTCGCAGAGGACTGTGGTCATTATCACTATAGGATAGATCATGGCCACTGTAAGCTAGCAAACTGATAGCTGAGTGCTGACACGTGTCGTGAAATAACTGCAATAATCGAACTCGGCTTGTATTAATTACTCGGCTTGTATCAATTATTTGCTTGTATCGGCTTGTGTTTACCGGGGGCTCAGGCTATAAATATAATGTTCATAAATAGAGATTAGGCAGAATAACAGGCTGAGCGCCGCCCAATAAGCTTATATCGGCTTGTATCGATTATTGATATAAATATTATCGGCTTTATATATTACATAATTAAATTACTCATTACCAACATCTTATCATATAGTTGTACAATCTTTCTCGTCGTAAACTTTTGGCATTCTCGCATTTGATATATCCTCCACATAATTCTAACAGGATAAGGGCTGACAGATGTTTAACTTTAAATGTGTAGTGTATAATATAACATATAGTAAACCGATCACCATTTATCTCAACATAGCTGCTCGAAAGTTGTGTAAACCTCATTAAATCGAAAACAGGCAATTAGGCCCGCAGTTCAGTTAGGGGCTTCATTACGTGACCTCGGTCGTACATTTTTGCATACATGATCACGGGAACAACAGGGCGCCCCTTAGGCTTGGAAGATCAATTAGTAAACAGTTTGAGCGGCTCCCTAACACACTGGATTGTTGTAATTTGTTAGTTTTTTATTAGCGATTTTCGTTGATGGGTCAAGTCCATTTTCGGTAAAACTTCAACCATCCTTATTTTTATTAAATAAGCATTACAACAGTATTTTCCTCAACAAAATCGAAAAAAAAACCGCCACTCTACCGACCATTTATCTCAAGATAGCAGCTCGGAAACCTCATTAAATCGAAAATAGACAATTAGGCCGGCCCGGTTTAGTAAGGGGCTTCCCGCTTCGGTCGTCGTACATTTTTTCATACATGATCACGTGAACAACGGGGTTCCCCTAAGGCTTGGAAGATCAATTAGTAAACAGTTGAAGCGGCTCCCTAACACACTGGATTGTTGTTAATTGTTAGTTTGTTTATTAACGATTTTTGTTGCTGGGTCAAGTCCATTTTCGAAAAAACTTCCGCCATCCTTATTTTCTCGAAATAAGCATTACAACGGTATTTTCCTCGAAAAAAATCGAAAAAAACCCGCCACTCTACTCTACAGTCGATTTTCGAGATTGTCCTAAAAGGACCCCCGACAGTTGAAACCAACTTCAATCGATGTATAAACTGTCTCGATCACATGATATGACCGTATATGGAAGTTAGTCTAACTTCTCGTTACGGTTAGGGTTTCAGCAAATGTTTTTGCTTGTAGCGCGATGTGTTACTGTGCCGCGCCGCGCACTTAATAAGGCTTCTCACCGCGACAGATCGGCGAGATGCGACAGATCGGCGAGATGCGCTACTGTGCTGCGCCGAGCTGCCATGAATTGACATCGTCAATTAAGTTTTTGCTAACCCAGAAACCCTTATTTTTTTATATTTGAAAATTCAATTCCCTCTCTCACGAGCTCCCCCCTCTCTGGCCCTCTCTGTCCCTCTGTCAATTTCTTTCTATTCATGTCTCTCCCTGTCCCCTCTCTCTCTCTCCCTCTCTCTATCCCTCTCTCTCTCTATCTCCCTCCCTCTCTATCTTCCTCTTTCTCTATCTTCCTCTCTCTCTTTCTCTCTTTCTCTCTTGCTCTCTTTCTCTATCTCTCTCTCTCTCTCTCTCTCTCTCTCTCTCTCTCTCTCTCTCTCTCTCTCTCTCTCTCTCTCTCTCTCTCTCTCTCTCTCTCTCTCTCTCTCTCTCTCTCTCTCTCTCTCTCTCTCTCTCTCTCTCTCTCTCTCTCTGCATCTCTCTGCCTCTCTCTCGATCCAACCGTTCGATCCAACCGTTCTTTTTAACCGTCTGATCCAACCGTTCGATCCAACCGTTGAATCTAACATCTAACCGTTGGATCTAACCGTACGATTTAACCGTTCCATCTAACCGTCCGATCCAACCGTACGATCCAACCGTTCGATCTAACCGTTCGATCAAACGGTTTATAAATCAAGAGGCTTGCATATAATGAACATATTGACACGGGTGCAGAGTTATATCAAAGCAAT